CCAGAGCAGCTTTCCCATTTCCTTGTGTTGTGTGTTTCTATTGAGTGCCGTCTCTGCTTCTCAGCTCTCCCTTCACATTCCTAGGGTGAGAACAGCTCTGGCCTGGCTTTGAGACTGGTCTTCCCTTAGCCCTGGCCTGGCTGAGCTGCAGTTCCCTGGAGGTCATTGTGCTGAAAGGTGACATCATGGCATGGCTCTGGTGGTGGACTCGCTGCAGGTGAAAGGTCTGACTTCACCTCAGTGGGAATTTCTCAGGTCTCACTGAGCTTTTTAGGGTCTCTTGGATGCTGGCAAGCTGGGCAAGGAGCCTGAGCTGCGCTTGCTAGATCCAGAGTCAAATGCAAACTTTCCAAAAGCTTGAATGTGATCCAAGCCAAGCGCAGGCACAGGTGGTGTGTGTGGGATGAGGCCCTGTGTTCCGATGCTGATCTCTGGGTTTTTTCCTGGCCCTGATCTGTATAGGGCAGTAACTGGAGACCCCTCGTCCTGTGTATTCAGGTGGGGAAACCTCGGTACCTGTCTTTTTTGGGTGAAAGAACGTAGCCAACATCAGCCATGATGCTTCTGGGGCGCATATAGTTGATTTAGTCTCATGGGTGCAGAAAGTGTTCACTCTGGGCTGCTATCCCTCCAAATTTGTGTCTGGGCCAGCTCTGATTTCCACTCCCTGGAGGGTCTTTGGCATTACAATAATTATGCAGATGGTAAATTGTTGCAGTGCCTTTAGGACACAACCATATGTTGACTGTGGATGGCTGCTGCAGTTTGCGCTGTTTCAGTATAAACTCCAGCAGCTAAATGAAGCAGCTGAAGTTGCCACCAGCTTTGCAGGAGCTGTGTTGACTTTGACTGAAGTGAAGCATGGAGTGTTCACATGCTGAGATCTGTTAGTGGGAAGTTTCCAGCTCGCAAGCTGCGATAGCATCTGAACATTGAGGGAGAAGGAGGATCTTTTCCAGCTTGTGATTCACTGCAGGACAAACATCCAGTGCTTTAATACAAGGCTTTGAAGGCACTGACATTCTCCAGGATAAAAGGGGCTATCGTGATGGTATCTGCATACAAATTGCACCATATTGTTGTTTGCTGCATTCATAAAACTTTTAAGAAAGTTAGTATTTACTGTAATTACTCCTTAAAGGCTAAAAGTGCCCTCTGTTATGGGTACAGACTTGTTTCTAGTCAGTGCTGTGGGATCGTTGCCAACCGCTTGCCTCTTTGTAGAGGTTCTTATCTTGCTCTCATCTCACTGCTCATTTCAGGCATTTATCTTCCACTCAGCTCATCTGATTGTAGGAAACAAAACATTACCCTCTAAAATGCCAATTGAAAAATCAGTCACGTGAGAGCAACCTGAATTCCCTACCTCTGGGTCTTGTGTCAGCTGGAACTGGATATTTTCTATTGAAAATGAGGCATTTGGTGATAAAGTCATGCACAATGACATTTGAAGTAATATGGTTGGGTTTTTTTGTAGTAGTAGTAGGAAATCATATCTTGTTTTGTGTAGGCAGTAAAAGGAGATCTGTAACTTCAGTTTGCAGTAAATTTTCTGCTCTGTGGTGTTTAAAATGGAAGTTTCCCAGAGCTAGAATTAAACGATAATTAGCAGCTGATAAAACCCCCTTGGCATCCTGCACCTTCCTTCATGCAGCATGAATATTAAGAGCTGCTTGTCAAGCCCAGTTCCTGATTAATATTCTACAGTTTGTGCGGGATTTGCTCCTCCTTTCCTCCAGAAAGGATTTATTTGAAAATACATAGTAGGCTGAAAAAAGACTGCGTTTGTGAAATGAAAAATTGAACATCCTTCGTAGCTGGGAGATCTGGGGCTGTGCATTGAGTTCTTTGTGACATGTACTTCAATTAATATATGTTGTTGAGGGCTTATTTTTTTAAGCATTTTTGGGATGAAATTTTTGAATGTCAGCTGTGTTTTGACCCCTTCAAGGTCATAAATAGGTGTAAAGCAGATTACCTGTAGCAATTATTTATGTAGTTACTCACAATTTGTGATTGTGATTACAGTGAAATTCTGTGAAGGGCTATAGGAAAACACCATTCTCACTTGGCAGAACTTGATCTTCACCCTCCAGTGGGGGGGAGAAGCACTGAGGACCAAGATTGATTGGTGCTGAGGAATGTCTCTGCTTTATCTAAGCTGCATCCCCGGAACATCTCTCCTTACCAGGGTCTTCTACCTTCTACCTGGTCTGTGAGCCATGCTCAGTTTTGGGGTGCCATCAAATGCCACAAGAAGCCCAGCCCTGGCTCTGCCAGCACTGAGCGTGGGACGGCTCTGTATTTATCTGACATTTCCTGCTGCCTCCCTACCCTGTGCATATGTGTGACCTCAGGCTCCCACAGGACTGCTGTGTTCCTCCTCCCCTGGGATGTCGCTGATCACTTTGGCAGTGACCCATTACGAGCTCTGAGCATATTTAAAAAAAAAAAAGGCAAAGAAAGCTGATGCAACGTTTGCTGCTTGTGAGAAAGCTGTGGGCCTGGATCAGGCAGCGGAAGGCAATAACCCCCAAACCCTGATCTCTAAAGGAGGGAAATGTGATAGTTAAGGCTTTTGAGACCTTTGGACCTTGCTTTTAATATCACACATTTTACAGATCTTTTCTGTGTTGTTGAAAACCCCTATTCCTTGTTATTTGAAGTGGTGGCTTCCCAGAAGCAATTTGATTTATGCAAATGAGCAAAGAAAATCAATGGTCGCTTCAGCTTGTGCACCTGCGTCCCGGCGTGCAGGTTTTGAGTCCGTGCATCTCTTGCTTTGCAGAGCTCCAAGTAATGATTAGAGGCTCTTTTTGCTCCTGCTGTGATCTTCCTATGAAATAGAAGTCAATGTGTCTGTATGCTATCCAATTTAACTTTTGCTGAGCTTGAAGAGACCTAAGGCTCAAAGAGCCTGCTTTAAACGTGCAGTAAAATCCTGACATGACTGCTGATCTGTGGCATTTTCCTTCTTGCAGAGCCTGGAGATCAGGGTTGGGATCATGTCTGCACAGTGCAGCAGGCCCTGTTCCTGCATCAAATGCATTGGGTGGCCCTGAATGCCCCCTTGCACACAGGGCATTTCTTCTGGGATAGGTGTGCAGTGCTGCTTACTGCAGTGCTGACTGCTTGCAGCAAGGACTCTCATGGGTTCTGAAGGATAGCACAAAGAGGTACCCTCAGGTTCAAAGTGTCTGGATGGCTGCAGCATATTTTGCTTCTAGCTTCTAGAGAAAAGATGTGTAATTAAGCAAAAAGCATCAACTCCATTTATATGTGAAATATGTTCTCCTATCCTTGTCTCATTCCCTTTGAGAGAATTCAGGGCCAGAATTACAGGATCTGAAGTTGCTTTTGGATCACAGTCAGCTCCCATCTGTCGTGATCTGTTTTTAATCGAATGGGTTTTCCATCTGAAAGTAGCTGTTGGACAGAGAACCAGCAGAAATATTTGTGTTGTGGATTAGCCTGGAGTGAAGCTACAAACTTTTTTTTTTTTTTTTTTTTTTTGCACAATAAACACATGGAAAAACATTCTTCAACACTGTGTGGCTGATCTGAAGGTTGACCGCAATAGCTTCCTTCCCAAAGGTTCTGACCTTTGGCTGCCTGCTCAGGTAAGGTCTTAAAGGAGGCCTGAGATCTTGTGTTACTTATTCTGGTTACCTCTAATGGAGCAGATCAGCCCTGCTGTCACTGTATAACAGTCAGAGAGGAAAGTGAGGCTGCAGAATCTTCATGATTTTCCAGGACATGAGCTTGTGCCTGGTAGGAGAAGGGGAAAAAATATCCTCAATGGTTCTGGTTCTTCAGCATTGCTCCAAGAGGTTTCATGCATCTCATCTTTAATGATTGCCCAGTATCTGGACCCTGGGAGATGGGCTGGTGTCCTGTGGGAAATGGAGGATGATGCCTCTCTGTTCCCAATCACTGGGGGCAGAGCCCTTCACTGCTGGCAAGAGGGAGAGCTCCCACTGCAGCACAGGGGCTGAGGGAGGAGGGATGCTTTCCTGTTTCCTCTGCCAGATCCTTATCTCACTCCATATGTGAAAAGTTGAAATTGCTTTAAAGACCCAGGAGCTGGGCTGGCTGGGATTTCCATTATGCTGGAGCCGGGTAGTCACCCTCAATGGCTCCATCCTGTGTTTACTGAAGTCTTGTGGAGTGTCTGTCATCAGGGCAGCAGGACCCACGCTTGGCCTCAAGGACATCGTGTCTGAGCGCAGCACTTAGATCTTGCTGTTTCTTTTATTTACATATATTTAAATGTGTTGGAGGCGCTAGGGTCAGAAGGAAACATTTGTGCAGAGTATATGTGTATATGTATGTATCTGTGTGTGCACTTGTGAACAATTTTTTATTGTATCTTCTGATGAGTGTTTCCATAAGTTGATTGTACTAGGCATGTACTGGGGCAGGACAAGGGAAATCCTGGGCTTATTCTGGACATGCATTGCTTGTTCCATGAGTATGAGAGAACGACCTCCCCCTCGCTGGCCTGCTTTACATCACCTCTGAATCAATCTGATAGGTACCAGAGGTGCTGAGCTGACATGTGTCAGCAGGGCTGGGCTGCTGTAGTGTCTGAGTGCATGACAGTACCTGTGTTATAGAGCTGTAATTCCTCAGCCCTTTTGAGTTTCCTTTGAATGTATTTGTTGAACCAGAGCATTGGGAAGGGCCGGCATCTCCGCAGAGAAGGAGATTTTGAATTCATGGGGTGGGAGATGGGCGACTCACAATGGGTTGTAGCCTCAGGGCTGGAATAGCTCTGCTGGTTGTGAAGTGGAAAACTACCATGAGCTCTCCTGAGACCTCTGCTGAAGGCTGCAGCGGGGCAGTAGCTTTAATTTGGGCTAGTCCTGCACCCAGGACTGTATTCCCCACTGTAAATGGGAGTGGACAGAGAGATGCTGAATTTACCTGTTGTGATTGTTCAGCCTTTGGATATTCCCCCTTCTTCAGAACTCACGTCCACTTGTGTTTTCTTTTCCCAGGTCTATATCATCAATGTAACATGGTCAGACCTGACTTCCCAGATCATCTACCGGAGATACAGCAAGTTCTTTGACCTGCAGGTAGGTCTGTCTTTTTCTCACATAAAATATTATTTCTACTCGTGCTTCTGGTCATCTTTCCAGCTCATACATTTAAGTAAGGCATTGTTCTTGTTTGGTCTATTACATGTGATGATCTTCAGACTTTTCAGACTCTGTAGGGTATGAGATGAGTGGGTGGTATGCTCACTTGCTTTGTAAAGACATTTAAAGCTGACATTTTCATGAATAGTTCCTATTGAGGAAGAAATCTAATTTTAAATGCTTGAGATGCATTTAGAGAGGGAGCTACGTTTTGGGTCCCCAGAAACTACTTACCCTGAATTGCTGAAAACAATGGAGCTTTTGCACACTCCCACAGCAATTCAGTAATGGAGATGATGGTGGTAACCTTCTGTTCCTCCTTCTAACCACCTACTCAGCCAGCCAGTGTCTTGGCTCCTACTGGTCTGTTCTAAATACCCAGTGTGGCTCCCTTGCTTTATCCCATGCCTGTGTATTTAGGTTTCATCAAAAGCTTCTTGCTGCACAGCTGCTGTATGAAGTCTAAGGCCAGAAAACTTGGAAATGTAAATTACAAAGTTTCTTTGTGGGCATCAATTGCTTCATTTCTTGTGCCAAGCTGCTGCCGTGCATCTGGAGGAGTAGGGAGAGGGAGAGCTTTCTGGCTAGTGTCCTATTTACCCATAGTCCAGATCCACTGGTACCTTTGTGTAGGTACCAATAGACTCTAATTGTATAATTGGCTGGGGTTATAAAATTTCTGCTTGGGAACAAGTGAAAACAGAAGCTGGGGTTTGAGAGACTCCTTAATGCCAGGGTAAATGCAGATTTTAAGCTGCAGCTTGTGATTGGAGCTGAGCTGTGGTTAGAATGTCAAGTGAATCCTTACAGCCAGTATTAAGGCTGTACAGAACTTGATGGGCTGTAGCCTGGGAAATAACACTGGCACAATTTGGTATGATAAATCAGTAAAGAAACGGTTTCTCCCTTGAGTGCCTGGGCAGAGATACCTTGGGAAGCGCTCCTTTCATCACTGCTCTTTGTTGTACTTCGCCATCTGAAGTCTCTAGTATGTTTTAAAAACAATATTGATTATGTTCTTCTGGCTTTTCTGCTGGAAGACTGAATCGTTGTAGCCGGTCTTCATGTCCAGGTTCGCTGTGTGACTGGAAGGCCAAAGAGAGGATGCTCTTAAGCCCCTTTCCACTTGTTAACTGGCCTGAAGCACCAGGCCTGTCATGAACCATATGTCTTATGTACAATGGGTCTGATGTACTTGATGTACTTCCTAAAGATGATCACAAACATTTGTTGTCGGCACGTGGCTTGTGCCCAGAACTATTTATTTCTCTTTTCTTTTTCTTTTCACCCCAGTCCTGTTTCCATGTGTATGTTCTTCTGGGTCTCCTGGCCTTTCCTGGTAGGTTTGAAAAGTTCCCATCAAGTATGGAGTTATCAATGGGGTTAGTGTGTTGGACAGGAAATGATGTCTCAATCAGGGAGTGAGCCCTGAAAGGTCCCATTGATAAGTGCAAGGGGGCCTAGCGCCAGTGGAAAACTCCTGCTTGCACAACGCTTCTCCCCCCATGAGAAAATACGACAAGAAAGTACCAAAATTCCCTTCCTTAACCCTTTTCTCTCCTGGAGGTGCCTGACAGGGCCACCACTGCGTGAGCAGTGACAGCCCTCTGCAGCAGCTTCTTCTGCCCTAGCAGGATGAGGCACTGCAAGTTACTGAGACAGGTCTTCACCTGGGGGTCCTGTCTGCTCTCTGTAGGCATGCCACTGTGCCTGTCTGAACCTTGGTTTCCCAACTGTAATATGGGTACAAGGCCCTTTATTCCCATGCTGCCATAATGAGATTTTAAACTGCCAAAGATTATCCTTCTTTTTCCTTTCCTTGCTATTATTTTCTTCCTAAATTCTTCATGCTGCCACATCTTCTGGGTGAGGCAATGGAAACGGGCTGTGAATCTTGAATTGCAGCTTGTGTTAGTGATTCTAATTTGGAAGACTGCAGTGGAGGCTAGAAAAATAACTGTAAGATCAGGGCATTTTGGTAAACAGTTGTATTTTGAGGTACTCTTAGCTTCACGTGCAGTGGTTCTTGCTCAGCGGCAGCTGCTGCGTTAGCACGTGTAAGTAGGCACTGAAAGGCTCAGGTAGGAGCTCTGCAGCCCCTCTTGCTCCCTGTGCCTAATGTTTGGTTAATGGCACCCCACGTCTTGTAGACCTGCTTCTGCTGGCTCTTGCTTCAAGCAGCTGCAACAGGGATGCCTTCAGAGCATTTTACAGGAAAGCCCTTCTGGTGTTGCAAAGCAGCTATATCAGGCTTTTGCAGTTGAGGATTCCCTATGTTTGCTGTCTGAAATGTCTGGCCTGTATTGGTGATCTGTGCTGGGCTGTATCTTGCAAACTGATTCCCAGTTACATTAAGATTTGCTGAACAAAGAGTGATATTTGCATTAGAAAGCCCAGATCAGAACTCTTTATCATGGAAATAGAAGACCAGCTTGAAAGAACTGGACCCATTTCCCAAGCCCATGAAGGGCTGAACCTGGCTGTTGGTCACAGACTATGCAACTGGTGCTGGGGTTGCCATGTGTTTGTTGGTGATGAATTGATTCCCTTACTTTGCTCCTGATAAGGAGGTGACCTGGGATTTCCATGTTCTTGATGGAAGCCTGAACTTCTGATGTAGCACTGTGTGACTAGTTGGACCTTGGTTTTGTGGCTTGGTACCGTGCATGGCAGCATGGCCTTGGCAAATGGTGATACCACTCATCTCATGATGTGGCCCTTCCAGCAAATGTTCAGCCAATTCACAGACACCACTCGTATGCAAAACACTTGGAGCCTGCAGCTTCACACATCCCACTGTGCTCATCCCAGAGCTGCTCTTCAGTGTTTTCTAAGCCTGCAAGTGTCTCATTTTCCCTCAGCTGAAGGGGAGGAATAAGGGCTAACTTGTAAGGGCTGCAATGCCTGATGATGGCAGTAACACCAGATAGGACCCACGGGAAAATGTAGGGAGCTGCCTAGGGGTGAAGAGGAAGGAATATAAACAATTTCACTATGGCACACCCTTAACTGAACAGCTGTCTCTGCAGCAAATGGCTCAGAGCTTTTTGAGAACCTTTGGTTTACTTTCTTTTTTTAAATGCTTCCTAGCAAATCTTTTTAGGCAATACGGGCATTCAGAGGTTGCCCTGTCCCAAGGATTCAAATCCCAGAAGTGTTCTGTCGTGCTATTTCAGCAGTGTATATGCTTGAATTACCTTTCAAGCTAAGTAATAGGGTAGTCAGTGTGGACATATCATGGGATTTTGAATCTGGAGTTTGCCCTATGAAGATGTGGGACGTACAGAAAACAGAAGCCAAAGCAATGAGCCAAATGCCAGCTCTGCGCTGCTTCAATGAGGCCTGGAGATCTAAATGTGGAGTTAAATTAGATCATGGTGTTGCTGCACCATTTGATTGTGCAACCCAGTCACATCTACTGTTGAGTGTGGGTCAAATCACAGCAGCTGACTCCATGTGGGTGCTGGTGTTTCAGTAAGTAGGATTGAAAGTATTGAATTAACTCTGTATAGATGAAAGCAGTATGATAAATTGCTTGTCAAGTCCAATTTTCTGTTGTCCTTTACCCTGGGGGCTGTTTGCACCTGAGCACCATGTGGGGTCAAAACCACCTCTTAACGTAATATATTAAGTGCTGCTTTCTCTTGTACTTTGCCTGGGTCCTTGGCTCTTACCTGCTGTACAGGACAAAGGATTGTGAGCTGCTTATTGCTGGGAGAGCCACATGAGCGTCTGCCTATAAAGAAAATTGGCCTTTGTGGCAGACTGGTGGCTCATTCAGGCACGTTCCATGAGCGTCAGACAAGGCCTCCCACCATCACTGGCAACAGAATCCTATTCTGAGCTGGCAGTTCTAGTAGGCAGTGTTGCTATTGCCCCCAAAGGAGCTGAGAAAACAGTTTCTGGGATACTCTGGGATAGCAGAGTAATTCCTCGTATTTCCACTTGAACATTTACAGGTACAAGGCCTACTTTGTTCTTGCTGAAAAAGTGCTTTTGGAGGCTATTAGCAGGATGGGGATTTGCAACTGGCTGTGTGCATAAATAATTACCCAAAGTACAAGGTGAAGGATGCAGCCATCTCATCCTTTCACTGACCCTGCTGGGATGGGAAGCAGCAGCAGGGTTTGCCACTGGCAAGCATGCATAGTGGCTCTTTCCCTGCTCCCTGTCTTATTCTGCCAGCTGCTCAGTGTCACTTGGGGCGTTTTGTAGGTACTGTGACCCCAGCTGGATGCTGCCCCTCTGCTGAGAAATCCATTGCTCCAGCTAAGTGAGCAGAGTAAATCTGGCCATGCTTCAGAGCCTGGTATCTTAGTTCAAATCCCCAGCAGTGCATCTTGTGCATTTTACCCGGTGATTCCAGATGTTCTGGTCTGATTCTTTGCTGTTACTTGCTGCCTGGACTGGACTGTGAGCAGAGGAACCAAGCTCTGTGTTCAGGTGATGTTGTCTCTGTTGCTCCTGTCAGGATAGCTGTATCTCTGTGCACAGAACTGGGAAGGGAACTTTTCTTACAATAGCAGAATGCAGATTTCTCCATGGCAAAACATAGCAGCTGGCTTTAGTGGCATGCAGTAATTCCATGCTTGTTTTTGGCTGTTTGAAAGGCGAACAACAGCCCTGCTGGAGCAGGAATGTCAGGTGGGCAGATAGCAGCCTCTGCATACAATGACCCACACAGATGTTTTGGCTGCCAGGAGACATCTGAAATGTCACAATTCTGAAAAGGCAAATAAACAGAGCTCTTTTCAAGTATTTGCTTTGTGCATCAGTTAGCAAAAAATTATCTGCCTGATGCCGACTGCTGATCTAAGCAGGTTTCTTCAAAGTGGTGAAGAAAGAGGAACTCACTAGCAGCCAATTAGAACATTAAAAAAAAAAATAAAGAATATAAAGAATTTTATTAGGGAGCGGAAAGAGATGTAAGTTGTTTC